GTTTTGGTCGGAGCTCAAAACAGCAAGCAAAAGGGGCTAAGAAAACTTGCAAAAATGAGCTAGAAAGAGGGAGAAATCAACTCACTCAGTGCAACCACACATAACAACAACAGCATGGGAACACAATATAACCTGACAAAAAACTCAACGATTCATAAATAATTACCTCAAACTTATTTGTCTCGGACAGCTTCAGACCTTGTGAAGCAGATAGCAGCTCACCAACATCCCATCTGAGGAATCTGGGGAACCTGTGACCATATTTCGGCTTCACAATGTTTGTATGTTCACACAACCAGAACTGCACCACAAAGAAGCAGGAAACAACAAAACCATAATAACAACCACTCAAAAATCTTAACAAAAACCATAAACTTAGGTTAGCCAAGAAACTAACTACCAACAGACAGGTTGTACACTTACCGTTAAAGCAACTACGCATCCGGTAACTTTCTCCGGTGTCCGATGGAAGTCCCTTACCGAACACATGAGCATATTACGTACAGCTGCACCCCAATCATATAATTTCATGGCGTCAAAGTTGTCCACGTACCGTATCAGGGTCCAACTAATGGTCTCTCCGGACGTGGCAAAGAAAAGCTTCCCACACACATACAGACAAAGAAACTTCGCCGTATCCTCATGATCGTGCGGTGTGTCCCCCACCAAGGACTCCATCAGCAAATCCTTCACAAGTTTGGCCGTTATCCTGCTTGTCCCTGGACACCTATGCTGGACAAAATCAGACGCAGGCTTTGGTCGTGGCGTCAAATCAAGGAATGCATTACCACCTTACAGCCCGAACAACAGCTTGATATCCTCATCCGTCAATTCAACTCCACGACCACCCAGAACAAACTTGCCTTCCCGTACACTGTATGACCTTAGGATGCGCACGAACAAATTGTTGCCCTTTTCTGTGTGATCAAGTTGGTTGATTAATATAGCTTCAATCATAATCCAAAACGGTATCCTTCTCAAGTATGCCAGGTGCACTTCCCGTAAATTGACTTCGTAAACCAATTTAATGATCCCAGTAACGTTAGACCGGAAATTGAGCCGTGGTTTGACAGCCTTCCTAGCACCAACGGACCGGCTGACAATATTGGGCTGCTTAAACAGGACTCGTCCAGGCATGTTCACCCCGATTTTTCTTCTCGATGACAAGCCCAATGCCTCTTGCCTTTTACGTTCACATGACCGTGTCCATCGAGACCCAGCAGAATTAACCCCTACAATTCCACAACTCACATAAACAACAAATACAACTTCACCACAAACTGCCAAATTTCAAAAATTCACATAGACATACATTACCCAACCCACTCACAACAACACAATCTGAAAAAAAAATAATGTAACTGAACAAAATTACTTATAACTCCAACAAAAAAATGTTCACACCACATTCACATAATGCTCGCGTACACCACACACATCAACAAACCTTTTGACCAACAATGTCAATTACAAAGCAACATTATAAATAACATTAGACACTTGCATACACATGCCGCGTCCACACAACTTCCACACACACAATAAATTATTCCATCCCCACAACCAGGTGCATGCGGTCCCCTCACACAAAGCACTTTTCCCTCGACAGTAAAAAACCCCACACCATAACTAGTCCTTTTCACAAAAAACTTCAAACACAGACCCCACACTGGCACTACAAGTACAACTTTGCCTACGTTCCAAAACCAACCAAAACCTTATTCAAACAACACAACAAACACATACTCAGAAACACGCCATTACTGAACAAATTACAACGAAAATCATACATACATATCATATTTCACTGTGCATAGTAACACATACCACGATCGCCCCAAACAAAAAACCCTAACCACGTCAACATATAATGCTAAAAGTAAAATATTAACCCAATCCACTACCAACTTACCTGTGTCAGGCATTTGAATTAATGTTCGCACAGCGACAACCACTTCCACGGAATGTATTAGGGTTCTTGGCCACCACGAATAAACGATTTCAAACCCTAAGGACTCTTTTATGCATAAAACGAATGCATCAAATATTTCCAAAATCAGTGTCGTTGGTGCCGCAATCAACGAAATTTGAATTTCAAACGACACAAGGGGATGATCGTATCAGATTCTGCGTTTCACGTCGACACCCATAAACAAAATCTTACAAACCCCCAAATACACAATATCACTTCACCTGAGAACTGACCCACATCACTGGCACCGACTACACAAAAGTTTTATAACATTTTCGTTTGTTACGAGACACACAATCACACCCCCGTTGCAACAAACCCACGCGCGTCCCAAAAACCCACCCCTAAATTTAAGGCCTCAATGGCAAATTGGTCAACATACACTCAATGGGACTAAACGGTTACAAAAAAAACAATTAGGATCATATGGTCTATAAGATGGGAATGTGGGATTTACTGGTCAATTCCCCTTAAATAAAATTTCATAAACAAAAACTTAAGTATAAGATTCATCAATTAGCTCACACAGGGAAAATATGAATTTGTCACGTTATTATTTTTCATTACTATTAATGGAATTTTAATATATTTTAGCATTTTTTAATTTGTTTATTAAAAAAAATTAGGCACTCGGGCCAATTTCTAAATTTTTGAGCCAATAGCCTTATACTCTATTTTTTGGGGTTAAAAAGGCAAAAAAAAATTGGGGTTAAAAGGGCAATAATAATAATTTAAAAGACCGACGACGACGTCGTTTTGAGTACAGAACAACATGAAAGTGGCCAAAACGACGTCGTTTTGGCCATTTGAGCCACTTTTGAGCCACAAAATTTGAGTTACGAGACATTTTCCTTTAAAAGACTATGTTACTTTTACCCATTTGTCTATTTGTTTACGTCACTTATTTATTTACCCACTTATATACCTAAGGTCTCGTTTAGCAAGTGTCCTTTTAGTCAAAAAGTCAAAAAGTTACTAAAAAAATCAAAAAAACCAACAACTTATATCAAAAAGTTAAAGATTTCCTTTTCTCTCTACTTTTTGCACATCTTTTCGTAAACAGTCAAAAAGTCATCTCAAACATATTAGTTTTTTTTACATCAAATTTTAGCCAAAAAAGCCAAAAAATTACTAAAAAAGCATGTTTCCAAACGAAGCCTAAGTCGGATCTATTTATCCACGTCACTTATTTATCCACCCACTTATATACCAAAGGGTGTGTTTGATTGGACGGACTGGAAAAGGAGGGATTAGAATCTATTTATCCACGTCACTTATTTATCCACCCACTTATATACCAAAGGGTGTGTTTGATTGGACGGACTGGAAAAGGAGGGATTAGAATCTATTTATCCACGTCACTTATTTATCCACCCACTTATATACCAAAGGGTGTGTTTGATTGGACGGACTGGAAAAGGAGGGATTAGAATCTATTTATCCACGTCACTTATTTATCCACCCACTTATATACCAAAGGGTGTGTTTGATTGGACGGACTGGAAAAGGAGGGATTAGAATCTATTTATCCACGTCACTTATTTATCCACCCACTTATATACCAAAGGGTGTGTTTGATTGGACGGACTGGAAAAGGAGGGATTAGAATCTATTTATCCACGTCACTTATTTATCCACCCACTTATATACCAAAGGGTGTGTTTGATTGGACGGACTGGAAAAGGAGGGATTAGAATCTATTTATCCACGTCACTTATTTATCCACCCACTTATATACCAAAGGGTGTGTTTGATTGGACGGACTGGAAAAGGAGGGATTAGAATCTATTTATCCACGTCACTTATTTATCCACCCACTTATATACCAAAGGGTGTGTTTGATTGGACGGACTGGAAAAGGAGGGATTAGAATCTATTTATCCACGTCACTTATTTATCCACCCACTTATATACCAAAGGGTGTGTTTGATTGGACGGACTGGAAAAGGAGGGATTAGAATCTATTTATCCACGTCACTTATTTATCCACCCACTTATATACCAAAGTATTCTAAGTTTTCATTCACAAGTCACATCCATCTAGCATAACAAATTGAAACAATACATAATTTAGATTTACAACATCAGGAAAATTGCTTAATCCACTAAGTTGCCTTTATAGCCAATCAAAAAGATCCTTGCGCCCTTCCGTGCCAAGCTTCCCATCCATCAAAGCACTAGTGATGTAAGGCACCTAATAAAGAAACAGAATTGGAAAATTTATCAGAGAAGCATGATAAATATATAAAATTGATTAATGCATAAACGAAATAGAGAAATTGGAACCCAACCATTTTGTCGAGATGAACAGCTGCAAGCCAAGCATCTAAAGTAATCAGAGTGCTTTCTCTCATATGTTTTTTATTGTCACCAAGGCATTTCAAAACACCTGACAGTATACACTTATTGGTTTTTCCTGTATCCCCTCCACCTGACAGGTTGATTTCCTGTATCCCCTCCACTTGCTATTTAAGTGAGACAATGGCTGCAACACAACTACTGGTCAAACTATGGTTTTTCTATATAAACTCAGCTGATCATCCTAATTGACAAAGTTGGAATTGATTCTATTAGTTGCATATGTCATTCCTTTCTCACACACTGACAGCAGGATGTTACCACTGTAGAGAGATTATTTCCGAGGGGCTCTGTGTATATGAGTACATTGATGATAGTACTTAACCCGTAAGGTCTACTTTAAATACACAAAGGTTTCCCATGTGAGTTTGCAATGAACAAAGCAATCATTATAACAACTGGAGTGATCAACTGTTGCAAAAACATAAATGAATTATGTTGTTTCCATAGTTAAATACGTTCACTAGTTCACCCAACCAGATAAGCATCGACTACATGAATGACAATTCTCTTGCAAAGTGCTTAAACACACACAAGCCTCTGCCACAGAATAGTCTATCACACAGTGACATATTCCAAATGTAAGTAACAAAGCTTAAAACTGACCTCCAAGCATATATTTGTCTGATCATCTGTCCCAAAAGCTGCTACTAAATCTTTTGACTTGGCAAGAACCCCCTTCGAAACATTTGAATAAACAGTTTGTGACTGCAATACTTCATCCAAGTCCTTCTCTCTATTTCAAAATTTTAAGATATTAGCATTTTAGTAATTATATATCCAGAAAGAATGGGAAAGAGAAGAGGAAGGGGAGATCAGGTCCTTGATTCCTTGAACACATCATAAAAGAACGTAGAAGACAGTGGCAAGCATCCAGGGAATTGGAGCTACAAAACCAGAAAAGAAATTAAACGACCTAAAGGGAAGTCATTCAAGAAACTTGAATCACCTATGTGAAAAGCTCTTGGACAATTATCACAAAATAAAAGATCTCCTCCATCTACACAGATTGAGCAAAGATCATCGTTTTATTTGTCGTTTTATTATTATTATTATTGTTATTATTATTTTACCTTATTTAATGCATAACAAAATTCCACATGATAAAAAAATCCATAGGTAATTTCCCTGAGTATCCAAGCCATTAGAAAAAACATGGCAGGAACAATGTTACACATGGCAGTGGCAAAAGTAGCTGTTGTGTACTTCATTCCAGTATAGAACAAGTTCTGGTCTATCACAGGCCTGATTACACAAAAATAAGAGTAAAAACATTACATACATGCATTAGATTCACCTTTAAAGCATAATTAAATTAATTTATAAGGATTTTCTTTTTGAGGTGAAAAGATAAATTAATTACTCCAACAAGCCCAGTAACATTATCTTCAAGAAGACAGAAGTGGTCATCCTTGGCCTTACTTTCCTGTACATTTGTTATAGTCAATAACATAGTCTGATTAGTTTAAAACCTTCTCTCATAGAGCAAAGAACAGAGAGAGAGAGAGAGAGAGAGGGGGGGATTTCGACCAAATTTGAAGTATCATACACCATTGTTGCTGACTAAAGAGGAGGGATGAGTAGAGGATCATTTGGTTTGGAAGTCCCATGTAGGGTTGCTTGGCTTTTAGCTTTTGGATGCAGTGAAAAATTATGGGTCGGTGGTGCTAAGACAAATTTACAGAGTGTTCGAACTTAATATATCTATTATTATTATAAGAGTGTGAAGAATCTGTCATAATATTTGAACTTAAAACTAGTAAGGCAGAACTGCTCCACTTTCTCAAACTGGTGAACTCGGAAAATCCCAAGAGTATCGCGGCCATGAGAACCTGCTTCTTTGCGGAAGCAAGACGAATATCCAGCATATCTGGTAATTCATGCAACATAAATTCAACAAAGAGCAGCCACTAAAGATTTATAACCAAAAAAATAAAACATAAAAGCCACCATCTAAAAAGCAGAAACACTTCTAAAAAGGTGTTGTTTCCATGTTCAACGTTGGACACAGACACTTGTTAGACACACATCCACACATATCGGACACATGACCAAGCATGTCCTATTATTTATTAAAAATGAAGTCATTATCATTTTCATGTATCAAATCTTTTTAAAAGTTGTCAGAGTGCTCGTATCGTGTCATATCTGTGTCCATGCTCCAACATTCTTTAGTAGCCATAAAGGCAACTATCATTCATGGAAGTAGTTATAACCTTATTGGTAGCTGTGAAGGATGGATCCAATCATCTAGATGATAAGCACATAGTGGCTGTTCAGCAGTAACAATCAAATATTTGTCATCTCCTTCACCAGTTACCTGTACAAAAATAACTAAATCAGGCATCCTCTTGTTATGGTGAACTTTATAAAGTGTACCAACAATTTGTTAAGCAAAAAATGCTAAATACACGAACGGATTTAAAAAAAACCTGATTAAAGTTTCCTGTGTGTTACAAAACTACAGCAAGAGCCTGGTAATCAGAGAAGTACTACAGCCACAAAATATAAGGTTATATCTAAATACTTTTTGATATACACAGAGGAAATAAAGCACATGATTGTGGATATTAAATACCTTCGCCCTACAACTGACTGCATCTTCGTGTTTTCCCTCTTCTAAAGCTGTTTTTGATTGTCTGTCGTCCATCTGCAGATGAGCACGCTGCATGCTGCCGCAAAGAAACGGAGAATACAGAAGTTATACAGAGCAATGACCAATTCAGTGTCATTATTCTACCAAACAAGTAACATGGTGTATTGCATTGCACTAAGTGTGTAATCTTTTCCCTCCTAAATACACATTAATGTGTACTAATAGGGTGGCGTTGTTAATCGCCCAAAGTGAGAAGCAAAAATATTCTCACAAAGATGTTTCTCAGTATATCATCATGACTATTGAAGTCATGTGTAGTAGCAATACCATACCAAATACGACTATTAGTGGGATCTTGGGCTAAGTCTTGACTAAACCTTAAAAATCTTAATGCCACAATGCCTTTCAAATCCTCTTAGCCATTTTCTTACTACAGTAATTCTTGCTAAGAAGAATGCACATGTTGTGGCAATTCCACCCAAAAAATATATAGTTACTCCTACAACACATCCATGTACAATGCTCGAGGATCTATAGCACGAGCAACTTCAAATTTATTATGAACCCAAATGATGGATTCAATAAGTTAATGCCAATAACAAAGTCTGCTAAATATAAAGTCTGCTAAATATAACAAAGCCCTAACCAATCACAAACATATCTAGGACAAAGTGTAATTTAACCTAATATTATTACTACCGAGTAAGTTTTAGATTCTATTATTCATTTACACCTTTTAAGAGATTAACTTATTTGCCAATAATTAACAAATTATGTTCATAGAAACATTAATATTTTTGTTGTTCTTCACTTGTTCTTTTGTGTTAATGACTTTGATGCCCATGTCGGACAAAAAGCTTATATTTCAGTAGTTTGACTAACCACACAAACCATGTTAAAACTATATGGACTTATAAACCCATGAATCATGAAGAACATCTGAAAATGTCCTAACTGCAATCATATGTACACAGAGATGGTTTTCTTGAGTACCTTTGCAACAGGTCACAATGGCAACACCCATGATCAGATATATATATATATATATATATTTAAGCTTTAAAAAACTAAACCATCATCAACAACTGGATCTAAGAAATAGGGTTACTATAGAGGGCAACTAAGGTTTAATGGCTCTGAGAACTGTATGATTTAAGAAACTAATACACAGTCACACTCAAATCCCAACTGCTTGAAGTTGGTTTTGGATACAAATGATCTTTGATTTTAAAAGGTAATAAATAAATAACCACCAACCACTGCATAGATGTGCCCTGAAATCCTTCCCACTTCAATTTAAACTCTATATATGGATAATACTCTGTTCCAGCTATTCTACACACATTGCGGACTAACTAAATAAATCCATTTCAATTAGTATATTGTCATATGTCACACCACACCAGTATGCATGACAATTCTCTTGCAAAGTGCTTAAACATCACCTCATTTTTTTTAATTAAAGAAAATTTAATTAAAAAAAATGAGGTGATCTTGAATATGTGCTTATGATCAGATGCAGAATGAAGGGAATTCTTACAAAGATGTAATTTTCTCTTTTGTTGTAAAATTGGGAGAAGAATTATATGCTATTTGTGAACAAAATTCAAGACTCTTTGTCATATAAATGAGCTGTGATTTGTCCTTTTCGTGCCTTCACAGAGAAAAAAACTAACAGCAATAACAATAACAGGATGGAAAAACATTGATTCGGACAGTAGTTCATTTAGCCAAGATGCAGCCCTCAAAACTAGAAATGCATAGATAAATTAGGAAATTCATTTACCTGAAACTCAAGGCCCTTGCACGCCATGATTGTTAGAACCAGAGCTTGTTTTCCAATGTAATCAGAAATTTCCCTCCTCGAACTATCATCCTGAACTAAAACAACCTGCTCTGCCCCAAAGCCGGCAAAATCCTTTCCACTGTTCTGGAATATAGTTAAGATTGCATTTTCATTATGATTGGGCACAATGATAGAAGGAGCTTCACCATATATAAGACTACTTTCAGGAGTTAAAACATCAATTGACTGAGGAAAAAATTAGTAAAGATCAATCACACACTGCGCTAACTTGAGAACTCCATCATGGGTGCGGAAGTTGTGGGTCAAATAAAACATGTCTGAGATTTGACCTTTCCCTTTTCTTCCATCAGTTTCATCCCTTTTCAATCCCAAAACTCCACATAAAACAGACACCGTATATCCTCAAGCCAAAAATCAATACCCTTTGCTATTGTTTGGGCAGTATCACCCGAAAAGACAAAACCCTCACTAAAATTTCGGCATACATATTTGAAAAGAGCAATTTGCTTCATTGAGAGGTCCTAGACCTCATCAACAAATACAAAACGTATCTCATCACCTGCATACCTCTCATTTCTTAGTCGATGATGAAGATCAATGACTAAGTCAGCAAAATCAAATTCTCCATTAACCGCCTTTTTCTTCTCATATGCTAAGAAGATATCATACACCATCTCCCTTTTCTGCCTGCTTATACTTGGACCCAACACGACACTCAGATAATGAAACATAATCCTGCCGACTGAGCTTCCCATCACATACCTCCCCAGCTATCAACCCACCTTTTATCACAGACATTATCTCAGTGAAAACTGTACTGGGAACCAATTTTGTAGTTAGCAGGATGTTAAAATGAGACCAGTAAGATGAGCTAAATCTCTTAAATGTAACCTCCTTTGTCCTGATAAAAATTTGGAATGCCAGTGATCTTGCATTTCCAGATTTACCATGAGCGAGTTGTCTTGCATCATGGAATCTTTCAAAGTACGAAGTACCAACTGTTCCATCAAGCATCATCAAAAACTTCGAAAATGTTATGATAAGTGGGTATGACTCTGGTAAAATATCAACAAACGAATCAGGAATATCTGCAAATTGTAATGCATCAGCATTGTCATCATCCATACGAACCGAACTGCTTTTCGCTGAAGATTTATTCCCACATACAAAGCTGTACATTTAGAAACAGAAACAGTGTAAAACAAGATAGCTTTGCAACACCAAATGTAAAAATGAATATGCTAAAAAAAATTACATATAAAAAATACCATGAAGATAAGGCATAAATGATCATAGAAACTAAACATTACTTTTAAAGAATTTATCTAAAACAAGAGAAATTAGTTTGCATAAATTTCTTTGTATAATTTTCTCATGCTTTTGTCAATTTTGCCTAGCAACTTGGAATTATGACATGTACTTGATTATGGAGAAATCATATTAGATCAGTCATGTCCACATGCCTATCCACTTATCCGTAGATTTTTTTATAGGTTGCTCGATTCTGAGCCATCATAATAGTATAGACATCAACTCACCTAGTTGAGCAACAAGTAAATGAAACTTGACAAGCAAAGGGCCATGAAGTTCCACCACAACTCACTGGGACCAAAGATACTGAAAGATTTAGAGGGACAATTTTCTATTTTGCTTGGCACATTTTTTTTACCCTTTTGTTCCTGGTCAATAAAACAATATGTTCTTTCCAAATATGGTAAATTTCAACATTTTGTGAATATTTTTCTTCTCATTTTTCTTCTGGTCTGTTTGCAAAAGTTAGGTGGAGTACCTTAATTTTCTTCACACGTCTAGTTCTTAATCATTTCACTGGCTCAAGAATCCATTAGAAAAAGGACATCATTAAGTTTTGACTCTCAATAATTGAGGGTTCTGGGAGGGCTAGAATGGTTATAGAATTAGTTTTCAGAATTATTGACACAAATTTCATGCCCTCAGACTTCAACCTGCATTCTCCTACTTCAATATCTTTTATTCCATCCATGCTGGTCTAGTTGTAATACAACAGTTTGGATCCTTGAGTAAGCTGTTTATTTTAATTCATATAATTTGCGAGGGGATATGGTATGTTTTGCTCAAGCTAAAGACAAGGCCCTAGATTTAAAGATAGCCACATGGGAGGTAGACTATCAGCATCTAGAATAGATTATGGTTTAAATGATAACAGTTGCAATAATTAGAGGGTCAAAAGCAAGCTAACTACTGGAACTTTAAGCAACAAGTAAGTTTTGTTCAGTGCACTTGCGTGGACAGACCTAATATCATAAACTGCAAGCTACATGTTCAAGGCTCCTTTGCAAATGAAAAAAACAACAATATTAAGAGGGTATTTGGGATGATCTAAATAAGTATACAATTTGACTTTTTGCGAAAAAATGTGAAATATGGGTTGGGTTTGAAATGATGTGGTAGAGAAGTGATGTGACCCCCAAATAAGATGATTGTGGCCAAATAGGATAGTGTGCTAAAATGGCATGTGCTATTTTAGCACATGCCAAACACCTCCTAAATTAATGCAAATTTTCAAAATTCCTTGAGAAACATTTATTTATATGTTTTGAAAATCTGAAATATAGCATACTGCTAAATTAAAGTAAGAAAACTAGGACGTTTTAGAAAGCCATAAAGAAAATTTGTTTAGTTGACTTAGAATAATGTACATATATGTATTCCATTTCACATGTACTATCAGAGCCATTTACACAGAAAACTTCAGCTATAAAAAAATAAAAAATAAAAAGAATTGAACACAATGATAATAAATACATCTAGCCCTAAAACAACAAAAATAGAACCAACCAGCAGTACCTTTTCAACTGAGAAACATGTTGTTTTACAGCAAAGCACAATTTTGGACTCACTGTGACAAAAATTTGGTGCAAGATATCTCTTTTAGCCTCCTGAATCTGATTAGTCTCACTACTATCCTCCTGGTGCCTCCAGCTATCATCAGTGGATAGATTACTCTGAACTTGATGATAACCCTCAGATGCTAAATGATACAGTTGCTCATTCTGAAATAATTTCATGGTCAAAACAGTGGTCTTCCTAGTGCCTGACCTTCCAAGTATAAAGGTGCTTCTGTTGAAATGAATTATCTCTTTCTCTTGGTTTGTTAATTCGAAAGGAAGACACAGTTCTTTACCATTGCAGCCAGATAGTAGGTGGCTGACCACCCTAATTGACAACGAGTAGAATTTCATCAGTAACAAACTCTCACTCACCTTTGCATCCTCAACATAGCCTTTGCCAATCAAAGAGGCATCATTCATTAAAGCTTTCCCATTTTCGGTCTCACTGAGATTCTTATATTGAATAAGACCAGAAGAGAGTGTCCATGTCATAGGAACTTTGAAATCCCTAAACTCAAAAAAAAAAAAGGAAAGAAAGAAAGATGATAGCAATTACGACGACAATGATAGAATATTAGAAAGACAAAATTGATATCCATTTTGTAGAGCATGACCTTAATTATGTTCCATAGGTTGGTAATTTAAACTTTAAAAATTTAGAAGTCAACACAAAAAAAGGTTTAGATACACTAGGGAGGGTACACGAGAATTTACTTACCCATCATGGCATTTGACCTTGCAACGGTTGAGATAATCATCTGTGTGCATCCCAAATATGCCATCCAAACGTTTAACCAACACTGCAAGAAATTGAATAGAATGTGTAAATTCTTGTAGTGATATAAGAAATTGGTCGCAAAATGTGGTCGCAAAATGTGTAAATTCTTGTAGTGATATAAGAAATTGAATAGAATCGTATATATCTTACAACACTGCAATCAAAAGTTAACAAATTGAATCAAATTAAATCAAAAAATGATTCCAACAGATTCAGATTTAATTACTAACAGATTCAGATCAAACAAAATTACAGATTCAGATTTAATTTATACAGATTCAGATTCCAAAATCACTAACAGATTCAGATCAGAAGACACCTTGAAGCTAACAACATATTCTGGGTAAATATGAGTATTCTTATTCATATTCCATACTATACACTGTCTTGGAGTATGAATATCATCGACTCCACTATCAAAGTCCTCACCATTGACACATAACACACAATCAGAAATGAACAAATAAACTAAGAGTCACAGATCTAAAAAAAAAAAAAATCACCATTGACACAGAAATGAACAAAAAATCACCATTGACAAACAATCTTAGTCACACAGAGTGACACAGATCTGAATAACACAAAAAAATCAGAGATCGGAGAGGAAAGAGAGACAGAGACAGCGACATAGAGATCCGTACCTGGGAGGTCGATCGGTGCGATGAGAGTATGAGGTCGATCGGTCAATCTTGCGATGAGTGAGAGTCGATCTCTTGCGAGGTTGATCGGCCGAGATGAGTGATGAGATGAGAGTGAGAGAGTGAGTATGAGAGACTGATCAGATGAGAGTGAGATGAGAGTGAGAGACTGAAAAACGAGAGAGAGTGTGAGATGAGAGCTGCGTAATGTGTTTTTGAGTTTAGGGTTTTTTTCCTTTCTTTGTTTTGTTTGGGTATAGATGAAGTGAAGTGAACGGACCAGATCTTCTGGAAAAAAAAAAATTAAAATAAAAAAAATAAAAAATAAAAAAAGTTATGCGCGAGGTTGGTCGGGTGCGGTTCAAACCCGCAACCCGAAAATTAGAAATATTTCAAACCGCACCCTACCCTATTATATTTGCGAAACCGCCCATACGCGTACAGGTAGGGCGGGTTGTGCTGATCGAATGACCCTATGCCCAGTCTTAATTCCCACCTTCACGTTTCAAATTTCCTTCCCAAACTTTTGGCGACCAAATATCATATTAGTCACAGAAAAGGTACCTTCGCCGACAAATTTTTTTAGTCACCAAATCTCAATCAATGGCGACTAAAATATTAGTCGCTAAATGTATTAATTTGGCGACCAATTTTTTTTGGTAGTTGAAAATAAGTTTTTGGCGACCAAATTTTTGGTCGCCCAAAAATATGTGACCTTCCGCGACCAAATTTATAATTGGTCGGCAAAAGCATACCACTTTCTGCGACCAACTCATTTTTTGGTCGCCAAAATATAACCTTTTGCGACCAATAATATTTAGTCGCCAAAAATAATGATCATTCACGACTAATTAATATTTAGTCGCCAAATGTCATTTTTTTGCGACCAAAATTTTTTTGGTCGGCAAAAGTGGTCGGCAATTGTGTAAATTCTTGTAGTGAAAGGTCCAAAGTGTAAAAAATAAAAAATAAAAATTTGCATAAAATATTTTTAAAAAATTTACTAAAAATAAAAAAATAAAATTCTTGTAGTGAAACAAGATATAGTACTCAATAGAAATTTTAAAAACAAAATAAAACTTATTAATAATTTTTTCTTTGATAAATCAAATAAATCTAACAAATAATGAAACGACTTTTTCGTCACAATTGTCATGAATATTCGCAACAACGGACTATTTAACTATATTTGTAACAATATATTTTATTTTATTTTTATTGATTGGCAAGACCGAAAGAGAATTGTGGGCCTTTACAAAACTAGTGCACTTCTCATCTATTCCTATTATTACCACCTTTGATTTTTATAACCCCAAGCAAAAAAAGACATGATATCATCAGCCCTGTTTCAAAAAATTCTATGTATATATTATAATAATATAGTGAACACATCAATTGGTGTTGACACAAAATTAAAGTTGTGTATCCTCAAAAAAAATAATTAAAGTTGTGATCTTACACAAAAAATTGTTCAAATAAAAATATATTTTATAATTATTTATACTATTTTAACAATTAGTGGATGAGTACTTCCTTGACAGCTATTATCCCTAGATTCAAATGAAAAATGTTTAAGGGT